AACTGTTTATACATATTAATTTAAAAAAAATCTGCTTATTATTTGTTTACAAATTTTGACATTGTTAAAAAATTTTTTAATACATGTATGTACATATGTGGTTTTTGTACATTATTCGTGCAAAATGGATGTTAGTAGTAAGCTTAAAGTATAAATGGCCTCATCGTTTGACTATTGCATCTCAAATATTGGAAATATAACTTTATATTTATCATAAAATTTTTTTCATAAATGCATTATCACTAGCAATTTGGGAATAATACATTATCAAACAGATAATTTCAGTACAATAAGATATAACTGATTCTTTAACTTACATCATTAGCCAAATTTTCAGCAATTTCATTGTTAATATTTATGTATATTTTATATAAATATTTATTATTTTATATTATTTATTTATTTTATATAGCTTTTTATATTGTTTATTTTATTTTGTTTATTTTATATTGCAATTATGCGTTATAGTCATAAGATTTCAAACATTCTGACAAATATTTAAAGTACATTTCAAGAAACACAGTTCAAAGTTCCAAAATTTAATTATAAAAATGTTAAGTTTATAGAAATATCATGTCACAAGATACAATAGTACTCTAAACAGTTAATTAAACATAAAAAAGATAAACAAATTATATTATGTTCAAAATTCTAATATTATTATTTTTAAATTTTATAGTTTTACATTAAAAATAATAAGATGTAAGAATAAATAAAAAAAAAGAGATTGATTTATGCTTTTTCATTTGATACGAATATTTATCAAAACTTTAGCAAAATGAACGTGTACGAACTAGTGCTGTTCACATTATTCGAATTTTTTAAAAAACCGAAGTTCTTCGATTATTTATATATTCGTATTTCAACGAAGTCTTCGAAGTTGGTAAAAAATTCGAAATTTTTGTAAATTTTGTTCTCGAAGTCTTTGAAGTTTAAGTACAGTGAAAAAGTCTAAGACTTCGAAGACTTCGTTAGCGAAAGGCGAAGTGAGAGCGCAAAATGCAAATAAACGTGCATCACACAAATTATTTGAGGGATGAAAGCATTTGCTTTGTTTGTACGGTTTTGATATTTTGTTTTGGTATTCTATGCAGAAAATTAAAAACATGTTTTTTTGTTTTATTTTAATACATAAAATTTATTTTATTATTAAAAATGTATTATTATATATATTATTATCAAATGTTTTATTATTAAATATTATTTTTATGAAATAAAAAATTCACATTTTAAATAACTTATATTTATTATTTATATTTAAAAAATTATACTTATGAAAATTTTTAATATAATACATGAAATATTTTATAAATACATGAAAATTTGATGGAATTTCTTTTATACAAATGTGCTAATGTACTAATTTACATTTTATTTAGATAGTTCCTTATAATATTATGTATTTCTTTTCTTAGAAATAAGGATTTAAAAGTTGTACATAAACAGTAAAATAACTGTAATTACAATAAAAAAAATCAAAATTTTATTATGCAAAAATAAATTTGTGCTTACCTGTGTGATCATCACAGCTCATACAGGTCAAATAATTATGCATTAATGAGCAAAACTCATTTTTTCATAACTAATTTTCTAGGTTTTAGTTTGTGATTTTTTTTAAAGGAAAAATGAAAGCTTTTATAAAATTTTCATTACTAATAAAATCCATCAATATCAATATTTTCATATTCTTACATATGTATTTTATATTATTTTAAAAATTTTAATAAATATAATTTTTTCAATATAAATTATAAATATAAGTTATATAAAAGCTAAATTTTTTATTTCATATAAATAATATTTAATAATAATATATATAATACATTTTTAATAATAAAATAAATTTTTTGTATTAAAATAAAACAAAAAAACATGTTTTTGATTTTCTGCATAGATTACAAAAAAAAAACATAAAACCGTACAAACAAAGCAAATGCTTTCATCCGTCAAATAATTTGTGTGATGCACGTTTGTTTGCATTTTGCTTACGAAGTCATCGAAGTTTTTCACTGCACTTAAACTTCGAAGACTTCAAGAACAAAAATTTGCAAAAAATTCGAATTTTTTTCCAACTTCGAAGACTTCGTTTACTATTCGAATTCTTCGAATACTTTGTAAATTCGAATATAAATAGCACTAAGTACAAACGTGTCAATCAAGTCAAACACGTCTAGTCATTTTTCTTTGAGTTGTATTATTTTAAAAGTGGATAAAGTTTTGAAAAATCGAGAAAAGATTTGTTTATTTTTCACGTTTTGTATTATATTAGCGAAACTTTTTTGATACATTGAAATTATTTTCCCTAAAATATTCGCATTAGTTTCAGTTGATATTTGATGTATAATATTCACTTTGATAACAAGGAGAAAGATTTTTGAAGCATATGAATCTTACGAAAGTTCGGTACAATAGAGAAATTTTTTGCTGTAAACTAATCGTGCCGCATGCGTACTAGTGCTGTTCGTATTCGACAAAGAATACCTTTGCAAGAACGCAAACTCTGCCAACTTTGAGCGTAACGTAAAGAAATTTTTTATGACATTTTGGCACACGTATTGAATACATGTGATTTTACCACGATAACATCAAATTGCTCTCTTTTGGGGTTGCTGTATAATAATTTGTTGGTACTTGCTAATCATATGTTTACATATTAGTAATATAAAAAACTTTTGCGTATTTTATTTTGTTAATAATATCACATTACGTAAACAAAATATATATTGTAACAAATAATATATGATACATAAATATACAAATTAATATATAAATATTTAAATCAGTCAATTTACCATATATCAGATTAGTTTGCTTAATCATGTAATATATACTCAGTAAATAATTTTTATTGCCTTTTTCATATTTTACAGTATTTTAATTTATTATATTCGGTAATAAAACTTTGTAGAAGCGAATTTTTTAATTAAATAAAAAAAAACACTTTTGAATTTTTAATGAGTTATATTTACTTCAATATTTTTTTGAGCGTATAAAACATTATTTCTAAACTAATTTTGAAATAATTTCATTAAATGCCGTTTTGATGTGAAATTAATAAGAAAGACTGAAGCTACTGCCAATTCACTTTTTTATACGGCAGCACTTAAGTGATGCATGATAAATTATATATCGCTGTGAATGTTTGATTTTTAAATTCAGTGCTGAAAAATCTGTTGATGAGGAAGATATGCGTGCATTCGCTTTAAATGTATGTGGTGAATGACACGTATTATTGCCTCAAATGCATTTCTAATTGATCAGTAGCAATAAATCTGTTCAATTGCGAGGGTGTACGCGCATTCGCTCTAAATGTATATGGTGAATAATACGTATTATTAATTAACATACATTACTGTATGATCAGTAGCGAAAAATTTATTGATGGGAGTGGGTCTATGCGCATTCGCTATTAGATTTGTATACCACGTAATCTGAGGTGGTATCAAATACTGTATTTTCTTACTTCGTTACACTGACTATTAGGCACATAAACCAATAATCAGGTATTTATGACGAAAGGCTTGCAGGCACATAAACCGCTAGCCAAGTAAGTAAATAATTTTTATTTATTTGCTACAGTGGTTAAAAGGCACATCTACCAATAACCAAATTTTGATTTTGAAGTAAAGACGATTGTTTTCGCTCTAAAACTTTATTATCAATATTGTTACCTTATATAGTATAGATTTACTTACTAAGCATAATAATAATTACAATTATTGATGACTAAAATAATAATTTAAATTTCACATATTGCTGCATAAGCATAAATACAATATGTGAAGCTATTGAACTTATAAACGTAAACAATGTATTTAATATTTACAATATTTATTTGCTGCATAAGTGTAACTATAAGCGAGCTAAAATATGTTAGGTTTGTTAAACTTAACATTCTGCCCGGCTTGAATTACGTTATTCAAGAATGAATCTATGAGCAATGATTGATGTGATTTGCAATGCGTTATGTGTTTTTTTTTTTAAAAATCAACAGACAAAATTTTAAAATAATTACAACATTTTGTGGATATATAAATACACATATAATTTTTAAACAATAAATAGTTATACAATATTATATAAACTTAAAAATATAAAATTTAGAGTTTATAGCATCATGAGAATTTGAGAAGCTATGTAATTGTTTCAGGCTCCAAAGTAAATCTTGTTCGTGGCATCGCGTTTGGTGTGAGAGTTTGTGTTGGCTGATTGACTTCTGGACGCTTTACCTGCTTTATTTTCCATATCATCCATATGATGGCTCCAACGACAAGAATTAGGGTTGTGGAATTAATTGCGTAGTGGTGCATGCTGTCCGTCTGTAGTTTGTGTGGTAATTCAGCGAATTTTTCATCTTTCAGAGTATTGTGAAGTAGCTTTAACTGTTTAAGTTCATTGCTGAGATTCAATGAACTTCCTTTAAAATTTGACCATAATTCTGAGTTATTAATGACAGGTATCTCACCAAATGCAATGTAAGATTCATACATGGTGTCGGTAAGCGTTTGATGTGTCTGAATTGTAGACGTTTGGTGTTTGAGTACACAGTCGTCTTGTAATTTCAGAAGTGTTGCACCTTGTAGTTCTAAATGAGTCGTGATGCCCTTACAGACGGCCGTAACTGTTGTATTGTTTTTTGACCCGAATATCCATTGGTTCGCATGATACAGGGGACTCCAAATAATGTTCGATTTTGTTTCCTGCACATTACACGTATTGTCAGATATGTTTTTTAATAGGTTAAATTTGCAAGCGTAAGCCTGTGAGCCGATGTTATATTTTGATTGTTTATCTGAACAGAGTAGTTTGTTTTCTGGTTGCTTGAAAGTCATACACTCCTTATACTGTTCACGAGTTAAGGCAAAATATTGGTCTCTATGTGGCGTGGCAGCTAAAAATGAAGCTTCTGGAACTATTGTCATCATTGTATTGTTGACTGTTGCAGGAATTGGGACGAGATTGAATAAATCGAAATCCTCATGATCGGTTAATGGCAGTTGTTAGACAACTATCAAATGATCTTGTGTGATTCCACTTTGTGAAGACATCAACGTGTATAAATGAATAACGTCCTCTTGATTAAATGGAAGACGAAGTGAATGAGGTAAATGGCCCTTGATCTTCATGATTTGGTCTTGAAGTTGTTGTGGAGACATCAAAAGAGAATTAATTCTGCCATGTTGAGTATCAGTTAAGACATCAAATATCGCAGCTTCAATTTTTATTAATGTGTGTGCCATCCATGTAAGTTGGGTTACCAGTGATGTATAGATCTCTAGGTGGTTAATACGTTTAGTATTATGATTAGTGTAATCTACTATTTTGTTTGTCTCATCTTGTAGTTGATTCATTTTAACTGCAATGGCTTCTGTAGTTTTGCTGAATATATTTAGCGTTGAGTCCATGACTGTAGTCTGATTTTTGATCATTTTTGATAGTACATCTTCATTATTGTTGATTTGAGTTAGAGTTTTAGAAATCGTTTCAGCATATTCTGAATCTAAAACACCAAATAATTTGTTAGCAGTATTTCCAACTATATTGATGGCTCCTCTGGATGATCGGTGTCTCGTCATAACCTTCGTTTCAGTTCGTAATTCTATGTTAGTATTATTGAATTGGCGGACGAGCTCATAACAGCTTTCTTGTTGCTGTAACAACGGGCACAATTGCTGAAGTGCTGCTGTGCCATTTTGAAACCTTTCGATCTCCTTTCGAATAGGCGCGAACTCAAAGTAAGTGATAATTTTCCATCTTCCAATGATTTGATTTACGGTGCCAATTCCTTCAAAATATATTCCGGGTTTGTTTGGAAATGATATTTCTTCAATGGGTTTCGAAAGTATTAATGGCATCATCAAAATTGTCACAAGTATGGTCATCATTAAAGATGTGCCATCATATATCTTTCGACGCTTTGGCAACGCTTCACTAGGTTCATTCGTTCGTCTTGTTTGTGTGACAGTAGAATTTTGTTTTGTTGGATTTTGATTAATGCTGCCTTCAGTGGGTAGGGGGGCCAATGATCGTAATGGTCGTCTAAAAATCCCATTGGCTGCTTTTATGTCAGCTACACGGACCAATCCATCTTCTCCTTCATACACCTGTTGCACCCTGCCAAGAGGCCATTTGTACATGGGTAAATTATCATCTTTAATAATGACTAAATCACCTTGGCATAGGTTTGCCTTTTGTTGTTTTCATTTGTACCTTGATTGGAGTTCATTGAGATATTCCTTTGACCATCTTCTCCAGAATTCTTGTTTGAGTTCAGAAACTAGACGCCATCGTGATGATAAACTCATTCGGCTCTCCTTTTGATAGGGATCCACATTAGTGGTAGGTGGTTCGCCTATGAGAAAGTGTTCTGGTGTAAGCGCTGTTAGATCATTTGGATCGGATGACATTTTTGTTATCGGCCTTGAATTTAACATGGCTTCTATTTCAGTTATGACTGTTGTCAATTCTTCATAAGTCAATGAAGCGTTGAAAATTCCTTTAATCATTAAATGTTTAGCTGACTTGACGGCAGCTTCCCAGAGTCCTCCAAAATGAGGAGCTCTTGGTGGAATGAATTTGAAGTCAATTCCCTTGTTACTACTGGTCTTAATGATCTTTTCTTTACCATTTTCTGAATAAATGGTAGACTGGAGCTCTTGTAGTTGGTTTCTCGCCCCAACAAAGTTAGTCGCATTGTCACTATAAATTGTTTGGCATCTTCCTCTTCTGCTGATAAAACGTTGAATAGCGGCTATGAATGCCTCTGTTGTCAGGTCACTCACCACTTCTAGGTGAACAGCCTTAGTCGCGAAACAGCAAAATACTGCTAAATATGCCTTTGTTGGCCTTTTTCCTCTAATTTTATAATGAATCCATATCGGACCACAGTAATCAACTCCTGTGGTAAAAAATGGTTTAGTCAGAGTAACTCGGTCAGTCGGTAAGTTGCCCATGAGTTGGTCGATCAGTTTTGGTTTTGCCTTTGAACAGATGACACAGCTGTGAACAATGTTTCGCGCCATAATCTTTCCTTTAATCGGCCAGAAGTTTTGTCTCATTATGCTTAGCAATAATTGTGGAGCACAATGGAAATTTTCTTCATGTTTCATTTTGAACATCAATTTCACTATTGAGTGATTGTAAGGAATTACCATTGGGTGTTTAGCATCATATGGCAATGTTGATGCTTCAAGCCTTCCTCCAACACGAAGTACACCTTGTTCGTCAATGAACGGTGCTAAAGTATTTAGTTGACTCGAACTGTTGACTGCTTTACATTGTTTTAAATCAGAGATTTCCTTTGCAAATTCTGAGCCCTGAATAGTTTTAATTATGAAGACTAATGCATCTCGTAATTCCTTTGGAGAAAGTGTTCTTGTTGGTGATTGTGTGCGATGAAATACACGGCGAACATAAGCAATTGTTCTTTGGAGGTATCTGAATCGATGATCAATTTGATTTATCATGTGATCAGAACCAGTCGTTTGAATGATAATGTTAACTGTATGTCCTTGTCGTCTTTCGATATCAGTTGAGATGTTAAATGCCTTTGGGTTTGGCTGTTGCCAAAATTCGTTGCTTCCATGAAGAAAGAGTGGACCAAAAAACCATATATGTGAATAATTGAACATTTTAACTTTTATTCCTCTGGAAATGATGTCAGCAGGATTATCCTTTGACGCCACATGATGCCATTGATCAGCATGTGACATCTCTTGAATTTTGCTAATACGATTTGCTACGAATGTGTGCAATGAGGCAGATGAAGATATTATCCATGACAAAACAATTTCGGAATCGGACCAAAAGTAGGTTGGCACGTTTTGATACTTTAAATCTTGATTAACTCTTTCTGCTAATTCGACTCCCAGCAATGCTGCGCAGAGTTCTAGTCGTGGAACTGTCTGTTTCTTTAATGGTGCTATTCTAGATTTGGCGCACAATAGTCTCGATGTTATTGTCTTATCATTATATATTGCTCGCATGTACATAGCTGCTCCATATGCCTTCTCTGATGCATCCGTAAACACGTGTAATTGAATCGAACAAGGAACCGTCGAATTAAAAATATGTCTGGGTACTTTCACAGTATTCAATGTTTGTAAGTCATTCCTAAAACGCTTCCATTCTAGCTGAGCCTGAGGTAACAGTTCCGCATCCCAGGAATAGTTTTGTTGCCACAATTCCTGCATGAATATTTTAGCTGTTACAGTAATGGGGCCAAAAATTCCCAAAGGATCAAAAATTCGAGCTAAGTCCGATGCCACAATCCGCTTCGTGATAGGTTGCTCTGATGACATCTCTGCCTTACCGCAAAATTCGTCTGATTTCGGGAGCCAAATAATGCCTAATGTTTTTGTTGGCTTTATGGCTGAGTTATCTAAATCAAGGTTGATTTCTTGGTCTTCTATCGGAATGTTTTGTAGGAGTCGTGTATTATTTGAGCACCATTTTCTCAGTTTAAATCCTGATTTACTGAGCAGTTCCGTAAGTTGTTGTTGAGTGTCTAAGGCGGTAATGATGCTGTTAGTTCCGCTTAAACAGTCATCTTCATAAAAATCATTAAGTAATGCAGGTGCTCCAAGCGGATAGTTGGTCATATTATGTTTCGCAAGGTGTTGAAGACATTTCGTTGCAAGATAAGGGGCTGACTTCGTTCCATATGTAACCGTTTTCAGTCGGTAATATTGTATACCATCATCAGCACTTTTTCTCCAGATTATCAGCTGCTGTGCTGTATCTTCATTATGTACTTGAATTTGCCGGTACATTTTCTCAATATCAGCCGTAAATACAAACCGGTGTATTCTAAAACGCAACAGTATTGAAAAAAGATCACTTTGCACTGTTGGACCTTTGTGCAAAATATCGTTTAGTGCTAAACCGCTTGATGTTTTTGCTGATGCATCAAAGACAACTCTCAATTTGGTTGTAGTGCTGTCAGGTTTCAAGACACAATGATGAGGAATGAAATATTGTGCTCCTTTGACATCTTCCGGGCAAACTTTTTCCATGTGACCTAATGACTCGTAGTCATCCATGAACTTTATGTACTCCTTGTATAAATTTGGGTCCCTTTGTAACTTCCTTTCCAGAGAACAAAATCGATTGAATGCTATCTCACGCGATCTACCAAGTGTTGTGGGATCATCGCGGAAAGGTAAGCGTACAATGAAACGACCATCGTGATTTGTCTTTACATGATTTGTAAAGTGATTTTCACACCATTTCTCAGATAAAGTCAAAACCCTTTCTGCAGTCTCAATGTTATCTAACTTCCAAAATCGTTCTATCATTTCTGACATTTCACCAACTTCTCCTGTAGTAATAGCGCATGTTGGTTTAATATCTGTTGTAGTTTTAGTCTTACCAACCACCAACCAACCTAGAACCGAATTTTGTAACAGTGGCGAATTCTTTCCTATTATCAATTGTTCTGGTTGAAGTAGAGTATGATAGAATTCAGCACCAATCAGCATGTCAATTCTTCCAGATCTGTTAAAGCTGGGGTCTGCTAATTCTACATTCTGTGGGATCTGCCAATCCGAGATATCTAGGTCTCGTGACGGTTGTGCTGATATTATTTGTGGCAATACAAATGCCTCTAGTCTCGTCCTGAAGCTTCCATTAGTAGCCTGCAGTTCAACATTTACGCGAGATTTTGAGTTCCCGAATTGACGGCCAATACCTTCGATCGATAGATTTGAATTTGTGGTAATTAAAGATAACTTGTTGATTACTCTTTGGGTTACTAGGTTCACTTGAGAACCTGAGTCGAGTATGGCACGAACATCACACGTTCGTCCATTGTTTGCAATAATGCGCACCTTTGCAGTGGCTAGCAGAACGTAATTACGAGTACACTTTGCATTAGTTGTTGCTGTTATGGATGGCGATTCATTAGCGTTGATCAATGTTGTGGTTGACTTTGTGTTTGTTGCTGGTGCCCTTGAAGGTTTAGGTGACTGTTGCTCTAAATGAAGCAAAGTGTTATGCTTCTTGGCACATTTTTTACATGATCCAGCTTCACAAACCTTTGCTTTATGATCGGATTTGAAACAATTCACACATAGTTTTTGTCGTTGAATCTAATTTAATCGTTCAGGAGGAGTCATTTCAATGAATTTTTTGCAATAGTAGATCGGCTGTTTATCTGTATTACAAACTTTACATAGATCTGAACAAACCATAGTTACGGCTATCCTTTTGTTGGGTTTATGTACTGCATTGTCTCGTAGACCTATAGCCTCAAGTGACTGAAATTTCAATTCTAAAAATTCTAAGAATTGTTTTATTGTGGGCATCTCCCTTGGGTTAGTAAGAGTTTGTTCAAAACTGCAATGTGTATTTTTATCCAACTTTTTTAATAGTATGTGAACTAAAATTGGATCCCAAGTTGATGTTTCAATATTTAAATTATGAGGTTCACATAGACTTTCCTTTGTTGTGTCATGCATATTTTTAATGGCTTGGACTGTTGGATGGTCATATAAAGAGTTTTGAGCTGTCAAACGTTGCAAAACTGCTGATACTAGAACTCTTTTATTCTCATATCTACTTTGTAGTAATTGCCATGCCGTCTCATAATTTGCATCTGATATTTGCAAATGCTTGATGAGTGCTTCAGCTTCGCCTTGAATATTGGTTTTCAAATACCAGAGTTTCTGTGAGTCTGATATTCTTTGATTGTGTATCAGTTGTGCAAACAGATCACTGAATTGTCGCCAACTCAATCTCCACTGAACTTTGGAAGAGATATTGTTGGCAAAGTAGCTGATGGTTGATAAGTTGACCTAATTGATGTCTCAATCTTGGTCGATTTACTAGTCCATTCCACCATTGTATCTTGCACCAACTGTTCCAGTGCTAGATAATGATTGCAATCAGGAGGGTTGTCTTGCCGTTCCTGAATAGTAAAATTTAAACCTTCAGCCTGATCCCATAACTTGGTAAGCGTAGCTAATTTTACTGCAAAATATTGTGGTACCTGTTGCTGGTTATCTTGTCTCACATTGTGGATGAGACGATTGATTGATTTACATACTGCATTTCGTCTGTTGACTAATGCCTGAATAATTTCATTCTCTTGACCACCAGTAGGTAATACTATTTCAGGAGCTTCAACATCATTATTTATCTGAAGGTCCAACCCCTTTATTGTTGATGGTTGAGCCTTAATGGGTAATGCTTCCAGCTCTTGAGTTATTGTGGTGATATATTTGTTACCCAAATTTATGATTACCATGCCGTAATCTTGTGTGAAATATTCCGATGTTCTTGCTAGTACATCGGCTTGCTGTAGTTGCTCATCATTAGCCTTGAAGTCAGCTAATAACTGTTCTAAAGTTGTTTTACGATCTTCGAGATATTGACGTGTTTTCCTGCTGGGTGAGTCCTTCTTGAAGTTGCGAATGATTCTGTCGATCTCTGAACCAATTGAATCCTGCTGGTCAGTTAAAGTGGATATTGATTTTCGATCCATGGTTATTGTATTTCCGTTGAAAAAATTTGTTTTCAATGAAGGTTTTTTGTAGACGCTGCTGGCTCACACTGAGTTGCTCTTGCCAATCACGTCGGGGTCACCAATGTATACCACGTAATCTGAGGTGGTATCAAATACTGTATTTTCTTACTTCGTTACACTGACTATTAGGCACATAAACCAATAATCAGGTATTTATGACGAAAGGCTTGCAGGCACATAAACCGTTAGCCAAGTAAGTAAATAATTTTTATTTATTTGCTACAGTGGTTAAACGGCACATCTACCAATAACCAAATTTTGATTTTGAAGTAAAGACGATTGTTTTCGCTCTAAAACTTTATTATCAATATTGTTACCTTATATAGTATAGATTTACTTACTAAGCATAATAATAATTACAATTATTGATGACTAAAATAATAATTTAAATTTCACATATTGCTGCATAAGCATAAATACAATATGTGAAGCTATTGAACTTATAAACGTAAACAAAGTATTTAATATTTACAATATTTATTTGCTGCATAAGTGTAACTACAAGCGAGCTAAAATATGTTAGGTTTGTTAAACTTAACAAGATTTATGTAAGGTTTTTAAGTAGAAATATTTTTATATAAAATTTAATAAAAAAAAACGTCTTATTAATACTAGGGTCGCCAGTGGTCGAAATTCGACCAATAGAAAATACAATTTATTTATTTTAATAGTATTTAAATTTTATTGATGAATTTGATTAAAATATGAACAAAATCTAAAGAAAGTTGTAGAAAACAATTTAAAAAATAAATTAAAATTTATAATTTCATCTCGTGCAAAATTATTTGTTGTGTTTCTGGTTTTGGCTTAATTCTTCCTTGTATTATCAATCCAATCAAATCGTTTAATTTAAATTTGTCGTCATATGTGACCACATATGCACCTGCGAAAGAAGAAAATAATTAGTATAAAATATGAAATATGATGCATTGTTTGAATGAAATACCGATAAAGTTTCGAACTGATGCTCCATTTTGAAATCTTTTCAACAAATAAATTATCTTAACATCTGCTCCGTACATTTGTTCTTCAGGTGATATCGGAAAGTTATCAGTATAGGAATCAGCAATTTTGTAGAACAGCACCTTCTTCTGAAGAAATTCGAAATTCTGACGCAATTTATTGCGTTCATCCTTCAATTTTCTTTAATACCTTAAATAATAAAATAATTAAAAAAAAAAACAAAAAAAAATCCTTCGATTTTCAATTGATCGCGTTTATTCTTTATTGAATCCATAATTTCGACAATGCGACTTTGCTCAACATCTCGCTCCCGTGTTAATTATCAAACAAATTCCTATACTCTGCCATCACGAAATCAAATCGCGGTATGCAGTGAAGGCAAGAAACAAAGAAATAAAATTGGCAAATGAACGAATGAAAAAAATTAAATATTGAAAAACATTCAAACTGAATGAAATCTAAAATGATAATAATGCATAATAATAATTCTATATTTTATATCACGAAGTTCTCAAAACTTCAGTGTAAACAATATTTTTTGTAAACACCCTTTCATCATTAGCCAAATGACCTTGTCCACCTTCATTACTGACATAAAATTTAAGTCCGTCAAATGATCTAACTCAACTGGCTGCAACGTAAAGTTGACCATGCGAAAAAACAGGTCTCCTCAACAATATTCCAACTCTATCAAATGTCTGTCCTTGGGATTTGTTAATTGTCATAGCAAATGCGCTGATGACTGTGGAAACTGTGTTCTTTGAAAATTAAATGGCAGTGCAGTCCCTGAATACGTCAAGTGTATGCGTGGAATCAAAACACGTTTTCCGCGAGCAACTCCAGTGAGTACTTCACAATCTATTGTGTTATTATGCATTGCTTTGACTCGCATTCTCGTCCCATTCACTAATGCTTGCTACGTATTTAAATTTCGAATTAACAAAACTATCGCATTAATCTTGAGCTCCAACTTATGTGGTGGCAAACCACTTACAATCAAAGTATTCAAAAATTCTACTGGATAGTTGCACACCTCACTGTTATCCTCGCAAATAATTCTGTCAAAACTGTAATAAACCTTTTTTTCACCAGCGATGCGATTCAATACATCGTTATTGATAAGTCCACAATCTTCATTAGTTGGAGCTAACACAACTGACTTCAACATTCTATCTGATAAAATGGTTTCATTAATATCCAAAAATATCATGTACTATGTTAAATTCAACACCTATCAAATTTGCTGGAATTTCTACTAAATCTTCACCATTGCCAATTCTCTTTAGAAATTGAACGAATTCCAACTCTTCGGGGAGTGCTCTCATATTTTGAGTTAACGTTATATGATTGAAAAACGGGAATTCTGCCCAACTCGTAATACAATTTGCAATCATTACTGCTATTATAAATAATGCCACCGAATTAATAAATCTGGCATAACTACTACTTTTTTTATATTCGGAACTGTATTTTCCATCAGATTTATAGGCAGTTTAAAAACATTATGGAGTGTCTTTCCACCAATCAATAAAGTGGAAGCAATACCACTAAATGCACACGAAATACAGCGAAGATTAAGGGAATTTAATTTACGAATTATAGCCGTTTGTGTGAATGTTTTCCCACAACCTGCATGGGCTGTCAAACAAAACACATTTGATCCTGTATCGTGATACTGAACTTCACGAATAACTTTATCAATAGTATCACGCTGTTCATTATTTGCGCAATCATAAAGCTCATTAAATAAACATTCTTCTACGAAAGGATCAAAAATATCGAGATCAGCAAATTCTGGCATTATTGTAGGTGTAGGCAAACCAAGTGACGTACATGTAACATTATGTGTTAACAAAATATCCTCGATTTCCAATAATACTCTATTAAAAGAAACATCTACACTACAACCATCTCTAACGAAATCTTCGCTTAAATGATCTCTAAATTCTTAATGGAATTGCTCAATTTCTTTGGGAGACACCATATACATCCGAGTAATAATTTTATCTCCTCCTCGTTGTCTTTTTTGCCAAGATTTTCTACTATCAATCCAAACATAATGCAATGAAATTTCTATATACGTATATTGATTAGCAGATGAATCACTTTGATTCAATTGAAAGAAAGCTAATAGCTTCGTAAGCTTAGGATTTTCTACTGCTTGTCTTTCTTGGCCTTCGCGAAATATAATATTTTGTCTTTGTGGCAAATGAATCACAAGACGAATTATAATATGAGACTGAAAATGCATAGGAAATTCATATATTCGCCACATAGCCTCAGTTGATCCCACATATCGACCATTCAAAAAATTTCTAACGTCATCTACTTCAACTTGTACTTGTTAGTCATTTTCGTTTGTGCTTTCACTTTGAATTAAAACAGTTGCACTATCAAAACCCTTATATACATATTTGTATATGTACTTAATACTTTTGACGGAAGTGCACTCCTCGACATTAATGTGACAATTATATTTTGCAAACAAATACGGGTTGTATGGAACGACATAACGATTATCTAAAGACTTTCCTCTAACATCAACGGAAACATTATTATCGCGCCGTCTATACAACGGATAACCATTAACTGATTCTTTCGTTAATTGTACAAAATCCTTTGGAAATTGTTTTGAATATTTTCCATCTTGCATACATACAGAGCTTGGATTCAAAACACCGCATGGTGTTGTTTGACAACAAATTCATGTAATTTTGGCTGCAAATTTTTATCCGGTATCTCTGCACAAACTATTTTATCAATATCAGCCGGCCCGACAATTTTGTCATTTTCACATAAAGTTATCAAAATGTGAGCATGAGGCAAACCTCTTTTTTGAAATTCGATTGTATATATAAGAGCCTCAACTTTGCCAAAAATATATTTATTCCAAATGTCAGAAATGAGTTCTTTTAACTTCGATTTAAATACACGCACAACTATTTCAGGCCTGAAATGAGATGATTCATTAGGATCAATATTATATACAATTTCCGCCCAATTCTGATTGCAAGTCATTGTAACAAAAAGCGATGGCTTGCCGAAGTACTGAACAATTGACATTGCATCTAAGTAATTTTGATACATGTTTCTCGGAGACCCAGTGAAGGATGAAGGCAAAATCACTTTACGACCTAAGCTACCATCTCCTACTTGATTCGTTTGCAAATAATCACTAATATTGTTATACACATCTGCCCTCAAATTTACTTGATTCTGTCTTATAAAATGTAGTCGACATCCTTCTATTCTCACATACATATCAACAATGTATTGCAAAAATAGTTTTTGCGATTTATGCAAAAAGCTAAATTGGTCCCTTATTGCAAATCTGAAGCATGCAAATTGTAACATTGTAACTTTATTTCGAATCTGCCTACCATTAGAATTATGTTGCACGTTATGTGATATATTAACGTGCCAACCAAAATCTCCATTTGGGAATAGTAAAGGATATGCCAATGGTTCCAAAGCAGAATCTAATACTAATACATTCTTAACTACACCATTTGTTTTTAAAAAAGATATCATATTTCTCTCAAATGGTGGTTCACCATCTACAGTCGTAAATATTATATCTTCGTATATCTGTATCACGATTCACGGTAATTGCCATACAAATCTCTTTTTGTGCATTACATACTCTATCATAATGTTCTTTCATTGTACAAAATGAATATCTCTCGAATTGAAGTGTTGTTAATATCGATTCAACCAATTAATTAACCTTAACTATCACACAATTCACAATTAAAATTCATCACAATTAAAATTTAACTATCACACAATACACTTGAAATTAATCTAAAAATTTCAAACTCATTAACCTTAACTATCCACATTTCACAATTAAAATATATCACAATTAAAATTTATCAAAATTAAAATTTATCACAATTAAAATTTAACTTTCACACAATGCAAATAAAACGATTGATATCAAAGGATATTTCCACTTCAATGCGTTTTTTTTATTCACAAACAATATTTGAAAT